ACTCAGATCCTCTACAAAGCAGTACATGCTCTTAACCAGTTAGCCATCTCTCCAGCCCCCGAGACCATTTCTTGAGTCCCCAAGCCTGACTGCAGTCTCAGTGATCTCCCTCTCATCCTCACAGCCTAACCCCCACCATTTCTTTAGCACAGGGAGAGTGGAGGGGAGTTGGCATGGTGAGTTCACCTCATTGTGACTGGATTCTTTCCTCATTTGTAAAGTCCAACCTCATGGTTGACTGGAGCTCCTCTGTTGAGAGGAGCTAGCAGTGATGACCTTCCCAGGAGAACATGCCTCTCATAGAGGACCTCCTCCATCCCTCTGCAGAAAAGGAGAACAGGAAACACAAGAAGAAGCACCTGGTAAAGGGCCCTGATTTCTACTAAAATCTTTACGATCTTCAGCCATGCACCAACAGTAGCCTTGTGTGTTGGCTGCTCGGCTGTCCTATCAGCCTACCGTGGGAAAAGCAAGGCTGACAGAGGGTGTTCCTTCAGGAGGAAGCAGCACTAAAAGTACTCCAAATCAAGATGAGTGGGAAACTCTCCCAATAAACACATTTCAAATTAAAAAGAGGAGGAAGAGAGAAAAAGAGAAAGTGGTGTTAAACAGCTAGAATAAGGCCCACATGGTAAATTCAGTGGGTATGCAGTATCTCCCAGGCCCAGCATCCACAAATTCAATCAGGATTCAGTAAAAAATATTTTGTAAAAATTGTAATTTGGGGGCTGGAGAGATGACTCAGTGGTTAAAAGCACCTTGTTGAACCCAGGTTTGGTTCCCAGCACCCACATGGTGGCTCACAACAGTCTGTAACTCCAGTTCCAGGAAATCTAAGGCCCTCTTCTGGTTCCATGGGCACCAGGTATGCACATGGTACACATACATACATGCAGGCAAAACATGCACACATATAAAATAAAAATAAATACATTTTAAAAAATTGTAACTAGGGATCTAGAGAGATGGCTGCTTACTGCTCTTGCAGAAGACCAGAGTTTGTTTCCCAGCACCCATTTTGGGTGACTGACAACTGCCTGTACCTCCATCTCCACAGGGATCCAACATCTTTGGCCTCCATCACCTGAACTCACATGCGTGTAACCCCACACATATACACATAATTAAAAACAAAAATAAGCCTTTAAAAAATATTACATCTGTAGCAAACGCACAGAAGAAATCTTGTCATTCCCTAAACAATGCATTAGAACAATTATTTGCATGGCATTGACACTGTATTGGGTTTTAGAAGTAAGCTACAGACGATTTAAAGCACACGGGGAATGGAGACTATAGGGAAATACCATGCCACTTTACATAAGGCACTTGGATATCAGCCCTGGGTCCTGCAGTGAACCCCCTGGATGCCAAGGGATGACTATGCTTAATGGGTATTTTGTCATTATCATTAGGGGATACCACGTTTCCCAAATCCCAGGGGAGGGAAAGAAAGCACAGATCTACAAAAGCTGACAGGGACGCAGAGTGACGGAGGGCTAGGTATCTCCCCTACTGCACACCTAGACACAGCACAGACCTTGGAGGCACCTAGAAATCAAAGAGACAGCATGGACAGGACTAGAAAAGTGTCACTGACTCGGACTCCCCCAGAAAAGGTTAAAACTGAAGTTCTTGACTAGCTGACATAAGGAGACAGTACTTGGCTCTCCTGAATATTGCGGCCTTGAACAGTGGCGCCACCTCAAACACAAAAGGCCTGCCACTTGCTCGTTCTTCCTCCTTTTCCCTATGCCAGTAGCTGCATGCTTTCTGGACAAGGAAGGGTTAAAGCCTGCCCCTCTCCTCCACGGAACTTATTCTGAGGGGAGTGAAGACTGAGATCAGCCCTTTCCTGGGGCCTCTTGGCAGCCCAAGGAGTCAGGCCGACAGAAACATCTGGGCACTTTCATCTCATGCTCTGGTCTGCTCACAGCCCCTCTTCATTTCCTTCCTCTTCTTCCTCCCCTTTGCTGCCTATCTTCCTTGTGGTCCTCCCTCACAACACAGTTCTTCACCTTGTGCCTGCCAGAGACTCCAGCCCCACTGCTCCAGGCAGCTTGGCCGGGCTCAGGCAGCTCCATTCCAGGACAGCCATGTGGTGAGGCTGGCTGGCTCTTTTGCCCCTGCAGTCTCACAGGGCTGCCCACTAGGGCAGGCCAGCTCTGCCAGGACACCTGGGAGGAGGCCATCTCTGACGTGATAAAACATTGGAAGGACACTGTTCTCTGGAGAGCCACCTTGTCCTCTCATTCATTCATGGAGTCATTGAGCTGTCACCAAATGTCCAGGTGGCCAGAGCTGGGCCAGTTCAGGCCTGCAAGCAAAGGCTGGGCTCCATGCCTGGTAGACAGTGCCCTCTACACAGGCCTGGGGCAGGTCTCAGAGCATCTGCCACTCAGCAAAGAATCTGGCACATAAAGGAGGTGCTTCATGTTTAGTGAACTGAACCCAGCCAGAAGAAAGGAGGCTCTGCCACGTACCCTAGAACCAGGACTGTCCTAGAGCCAGAGGGCAAATGACCAGGTCCAGAACCTTCTTCCTGACCCTTCAGAGAACTACAGGAGCATTCTCTTAACTTACCATTGCCCAGTTAGGCTTAGAACAAGATATCTCAGAAGCCCACAGGGCCTAAGAAACTGGAAAAGCTTGTAGGTGGGTTCAGGCCCTGGCAAGACTCTGGACACCAAGGAGAGAGAAACTAATAGCTGCCAGGGGTTGGGGAGATGACTCAGTAAGTAAAGTGCTTGTATTGTAAGCATGGGGATCTGAGTTTGGACCCCCATCACCCACTTTAAAAAGCCAGGACAGCACATGCCTGTAATCCCAGCCCTGGGGAGGTAGAGACAGGATGCCTGGAGCTTGCTGGGCCAGTTGGCTTGTTCACCCAGGCTACCCAAATTGATAAACTTCAGGTTAGAGGAAGATGCTTGATGTCAACCTCTGGCCTCCACACACGTGCACATGTGTACAAACACACACAGGAAAATAGATACCAAACACTGGGCACTGGACTCATCATTCCCTCAGCTCCAGTGACCTGCTAGATCCCATGAACCTGCTTTTACCATTGTGCTTTTCTTGTCCTAGAACAAGGGTGATCAGGCATCCAAGGGAGCCACTGCCTAGAGTGGCTCCCAGAAGACTGTCAACCAGTTCTTGAACTATGGCCAATGGCAGAGCACTTGACCACAAAGGGGCTATTCTGGTCTCAGTTTGGAGAGCAAATCACTTTAGGGCGAAGTGGGTTAATCATTAGGGGCTTGCTTTGAACTGGGGCTCCCTTCCCTGAGTGACCAGTGCCTCCCTGGTCCATTGGTCGTGCTGCAGAGAGGGGACAACTAAAAGGAGGGTCCTCCCACTTTGGCTGCAGTCCTGGACTCAGGAATGCAGCTTACCAGTTCTCTCTGGAGTCCTGCCTCAGCCACTGGCATCTATTCACTCTGCAATCCAGGTGGAAAGTTTGGGGTGCTTCCTAACACACATTGCCTAGCCAACAGGCTGTGTATCTGATCCTCAGAAAGAGCAGCTGACATCTCTTCAGGCAAATCCGGCACTCATGTTTGCTCATGTTTTTTGCGTTTTGTTTTGTTTTCCCAGAAACAAACACTAGAAAGATACACAGGAAACCAGCAGGGCAGGAGGCTGCAGGCTGGATCAGGATTGGGTTGGAAGGAGAATATTCAATGTGTGTCTTTGTGTATCTTTATATTCTTTAGGCTTTGAGCCACAAGGCTGTATTGTCTATTCAGAAAAGTAAAAACTTAAGAGTTAAAAAGTCATGATCAGGGCAAGCCTGCATGCACATAATGCCTTTAACCACTGCTATAGTCCTGGACCAAACAAGCCACCATCTTCTGGGGCCTGAATTGTTAGAAGAGCTTCCTCTACACAGCCTTCCTGCACTCCATCCCCACTACACCCCCGTTTCCCATCCATTGTCTGTGTTCCTTATCCCAGCCAGAATGATCGTGTTAAAGGTCAATCAGATTAGCCATTCCCACTGACTTCCCAACATTCTTCACAATGTCTGTGTGATTCCACTGTTTCCTGGCCTTCACCTGGCCATTCACACTCCCCAGGGATTACCCTGCTGATCCTCTAAGACTCTAGGAACCCTCAGCTCCCACCCTGCTTTGCTTACCCCCCCAACACACACACACCTCCTTTAGGCTCAGTCTCACTTCTCTTGGTGGGGTCCCCATCCTTGGCTGATTTTATTCCTCCTCACAGCACCCCTCTTTTGCAAGCATCTCCAGTTCGAACATCTGTTGAATGAAACTGCTGGTGTGTAAAGAACTTTGTAGCAGGCAGAAGGCAGATATAAGTGAAATGCCTTACAAGGGTGATGGTGGGAAGTTACCACCCAGGGCTGGCTTGGGCATCTCCTCAAAGCCCAGCCCAGGACATAACAGCAGCAGGTGACCATTGCGATGGCTCAGTGGATAAAGAGTTGCCATCAAGCCTGAAAGCAGAGTTTGATCCCTGGGACCCACATGACAGAAGGAGAGAACCAACTCCCACAAGGTATCCTCTGGCCTCCACACACATGCTGTGGTGCACTAGCACTTGCGCGTGCGTGCACACACACACACACACACACACACTTAACAATTTAAAAAATAATAGCAATTGGCATTTATGGAGTGCTTACTGCATACATTCAAACGCACTGCTCTTCGTGCTTTGCAAAGACTCTTGCTTCATCCTTAAGCATCCTTCCAACAGCCCAACCCTAGCAGGTGGGTCCTCGGTGTCCTGCTCAAACAGGCAGAACCACGAGCTCAGTTGCCCAAGTTTGCATGCTGATGGGCAGGGCTCCTGAACTCCCCAAGAACAGAGGGAATGAGCAGACTCACAGGGGTGATGAGAGGACATGTCCCCAAGGTCTCAGAAGCAAAACAGAGGGCTACAGCAACACGTGATGCAGACTCCAGAACTGGCATTCATTTCTAAAGGGATGTGGGAAGCAAACTCCACACAGGACAAAGCAGGAGTGCTCATTTCTCAAGCCTCTGAGAGGTGTTTTATTTTTCTTTTTTCCCCTCCCTTTCTTTTTTTTAAAAACAATAATGGCACATTTTAAAAAATCAAGAACTACAATAAAAGGACCATGTCTTTGAGTTTTTGTTCACATTATCCCAGACTGGGACAGAGGGACTGGCACACGCCATCCTGGCTGGGTTCCACTTCTTGGAAAGGTGCTTGCTGGGTGGCTTCAGGAGCTGGGGCACTGTTTCATTGAGGCACTGTTTCCCCGGGTCCCATTAGAGGGTGGCACCTGGTGCTGTCCCAGGCTTCTACTTCTCCAAGCCTCCAGCACCCTAGCAGCCCTCTCCCCTCTCTCCAAACCGAAGCTTGGAAATGGAGACATTAGGGAACTTACTTTGATCCCCACAGGGGACTCTTTCAGGGACAGAGCCTCCCCTGACCGGCAGGAGATGACACCCCCTTGGGAGGGTTGGGTGTCTCTCCATAGTCCCATCTCCACTCCAGCAGACACCACACTGGTGTCCTGGTTCTCAGGCCTGAACCACCCAGGCCCCCTCCTTCTACACCCAGGGTCATTCCAGCAGGTACAGGACAGATGCTTGGCCCCCTCAGCTGACCCCCACAAAGAGCAAGAGGGTTCCCAAGCCCCAGGACCCTGGCTTAAAAGGATGTGCTGGGTGATAAGAAGGGAGAGGGCAGGCTGAGGACACAGAGCCAAAGGAACCAGGTGACAGGAGAGAAATGGGAGAGAGCTGCCCTAGGGGACAGGGCAGGCTCCCCAGATCTGCAAAGAGGAAAGGATCCTGGGCTGCGGGTCAGCAGGCTTGGGATCAGGGCTCTGGGGAGAAAGAGGCAGAACTGAATTCTTGTTCCCCTTCCCATCCTGCCTCCAATTTCCATGGAGATGGGGGAGGGGTCCAGGCCCAGGTGGCAAGATCTCAGAAACCCCAGAAGGGGGTTATACCACCTGCACTCTGCCCCTGTGGGAGGCTGGGTACCTCCACCCCAGCCCAGGCCACGCCCAGCCCCTCCCAGTAGCTGCTCCCAAGGGCTCCCCTCCACCAGCCAACTGTACTCGGAAGGTGGTAGGGGCCCGCTGACCTGGGCCCTCCCGGCCTAACCCCCGCTCTGGCCCCGCCCTGACCACGCCCTTGACTCTATTCTTGCTGCTCATTCATTTCCATGTCAGACACCAGGATGTTCTTTTCTGTGGCCTCTGCCGGGCCAGAGCTGCCACGACTGTAGCGGGCGCCCTCGAAGGTCCCACGCTCTGCGCTCTGTCGGCGCCGGTAGAGGATGAGAGCCGCGGTTAGCAGGGCCAGGAGAAGCAGCACGGCCATCAGTACCACCACCAGGGCCGCGGGAGAATCCGGGAGTGCAGCTACAGGGATAGGTGATTGGGGGCGAGGGTGCATCAGGTCGAAGCCCAGGCCGCAGCCCTGCCCAGCCCACCCAGGAAAAAGGTAGGGGCCAGAAAAGGGCCAGGGGCAGGGCCCGTCTCTTCCACTCACCTGATGGGGAGCTGCTCTCTTCCACTGTGTCAAGAGGGAAGGGTAAGTTAATAACAAGCAGTAATTATAGTAATAATTTAAGAAAATGTCCATAAAGCACCTCCTGAATGTCATTTTCCAATCTCACTTCATCCTCCATGACTCTATGAGATAGCTACTATTATTCCCATTTTACATATGAGGAAACAGACCATAGCGTTCAGACTTGCCTCAGATGGAAGCGGGTGTGTGTGTGTGTGTGTGTGTGTGTGTTCTGTACATGTGTTCATGTAGGTGTGTGCTCATGTGCATGAGGGTGTACGGTGCTACGTGTATGGAGCCAGATAGAGGTCAATGTCACTGTCTGTCTTCCTTGATGGCTCTCCACCTTAGTGTTTGAGAGTCCCTCACTGAATCCACAGCTCATGGATTCAGCGAGGCTGACTGACCAATGAGCTCCAGGGATCCACCTATCTCTGACACACATACACCCCCATTGACACATGGCATTGGGGTCACAGATCTGTACTTTGCATGCTGGGCTTTTATTGGAGTGCTAGGGATCCGAGCTCAGATCGTCAAGCTTGCACAGCAGGCACTTTACCTACTAAGATACCTCCCTAGGCCTCAGAAGGCAGAGTTGATAAGTAATGTGGCCAGGACTTGAACCCTATTCTTTCCCTTAACCACTAGAGGATGGAGGAGGTTGCTGGCCTCTGGGGCTTGCTGCCTACTGTGGAAAGTAAATCCTAGAGTCAGTTATTCCTATAGATTAACCTGTAGTCCCAGCTGCCCCTGGTCTGGTCTGTTCATGCCCTCCCACCCAGTGTCTACCCCTGTACATTGAGGACTAACCCTTGGCCCCACCCCAGCTGTGGGGAAGAAAGGAGCTGAGCATGTGTCTGCCAGGACACTGCCTCACCTCGAGGGAGCTTGCAGACAACACCCATGGTGATGTTGGTGCAGGCGCCAGGGCGCCACAGCCCACTGCTGCTCTGGATCCAGTAGCAGCTGTTGTGGCTCAGCATGCTGGGGCCCAGGCCAGGGGGTCCCCAGTTAGAGTAGTTCACGGCTGTGTTGTCATGCCAAACTAGCATGCCTCCTGTAGAAAGAAGGCAGTGAGGGTGCAGGTGGGGCTGGAACAAGTGGGAGAGAGTGGGTATTCTCCAGCTAACCCTCCCTTCCCCAACTCTTCTCCTTTCCCAAGCTTAGACAGTCCGTAAGGAATCTCTCCTGCAAGCCTGAGCCCTGGTCCCCCCATATCCTACATGGGGCACCCACCTTTGGGGTTGAAGTTCATGCCCAACCAGGCTCCTCGACTCTGGCCTTCAGAGGTCTGCAGGTGCTCCCAGACAAACACATTCTCCATCTCATCAAGAATGGACAGGACTGTCCCACCCGCTGGATACAAGGTAGATCCATGTCAGGGCAAACAGGTCTCCCTGGGTGATGCCCTGCCCCCAGCACCCTATCTCGCCCAGCAGCCACAGCCTTCTCTAGCAGCAGGAGTGCAAGATGATGCATCATCTGAGCATGTGTGAACTGTAGGATATACTGTGCACATGTCACGTTATAGTCTCTCTGTATTAAAAATTGACAGGGAGTTTGGGTAAGTGCTGCCTACAGGTAGAGTGTCAGAGAGGGGACTGCCTTCACCAGGTCTGATTGTACATCTGGCCTCCCTATCCTACCCACCCTCACCTACCTCTCTGGCATCGCTGAAGTGCCTCCTTGTGGCCCAACAGCAGCTCCATGTGGAAGGAATAGCAATACTCCCTGAAGGGAATCCATGACGAGTCAGCCAACCCCTGGGGACAGCTGCCATGGGAGCTTATCCTTCGGGGAGGAGGGGACCCTGTTGGGGTGCAGGATTGAGGATGCAGCCCAGCATCCTCCCAGGACCACCTGCATTATGCCCAAACCTTGACCCCAGAAGGTGGTACTCACCCCTGCTAACCCCACACACGGCTCCCTGCAGCTTAGTGTCACAGCTGGTGGTGTGCCAGGCTCCATCCACATCCACATAAGCACAGCCCCCCAACTGCTGGGGCTCCCTGTCTTGCCAGCTCACATAGTTCAGTGGCTCCTTTGAGACCCAGGAGTACTTCCTTGAGCCCTGGGTGTAAGAAAAAGGGAGACAGTCAGGTTTGGGGCAGACAAGGAAGGTGATAGAAAGGGGTGGGGAGGGAAATCAAGGCAGCAGGTAGGGGTAGGGTAAAGGACAAAAACTGGCATTGGGAGCCCACCTCCTCACTGGTCAGCCCAATCCAGAGTGGTGCTCGCTGCCCCCGGGCAGCTTGTGTTAGGAAGGCTTGGGTGTAGGGGTCAGGTACGTAAGCCAGGCTGGCATTTCGGCTCTCACACAGTAGGAGGGCATCGTGCCAGCGCAGTGGCTTCTGCAGCAGCCGGAAGGTGCCATTGAGGTAGGAGAGCTCAGTGCCAGGGGCAGGGGGTGACGCTGCTGGTGATGGGCTCAGAGACAGGTCTAAAGGGAAAGGGAGCAGGGCTCAGACTAGGCTCTGCCTCCCTCCCTCACTCCCAGGCATGAGGCTAGGCTAGGGGACGCCAGACACCAGGCCAAGAGCAGGTCTCCACTGGACACAGACGGCAGAGATTAATCCTTGGAAAGTGTTAGTCACTTTCATAAGCCATGTTTGCTAACATGCAGAGCTAAGGTATTGATCTACTCCTATAAAGGGGACCATGCAGAGAGCTGGAGGTGCCTTGCTATAGTCTCAGGGGCTCAACACCAGGTATGCCAGCATGTCACACACCCCATGTCTAAGTGCCCACAGACTTTCTTTCTGAGCCTCTCGGGTGCTACTGCCTTTCTGCCCACCTGCTTCCCAAGCAGGCACACAATTCTGGAGGGGCCCCCTAGGGCCTCTGAAGTAAGCAACAATGTCTGGTTCTTTCTGGTCTGTCCCAGAGCAGCTAGCCAGTGCTGGAGTATCTAAATGTACTTGTGCCCTGTAAATAGTCATACCACCCTGAACACACCCGATCTCGCCTGACAGGTACCTGTGCCCTTCTGGCAGATGAAACCATGTGTCTCCTCTGTGCAGCTCCGATCATCCCAGCGGCCAGTGAAGTGGGCTGAAGGGCTGTGCAGGACCACCGCACAACTGGTCTGGGGGGAAGCAGCTGCTCAGGGGAGTCCCAGTGGTGCCCACTTTTTCAATTGCTGCCCCACAAAAGGGTAGCAGAGGCTGGAAGAGGGGGAAGGAGGGGAAAAGGCACCACAGATGAGGGTAACAGGGGCAGAAAGCAGCAGAAAAGTATCCTCACCGGCTTGGTGCCACTGGGAGCAGGGCTGGGGCCAGAGGGCTCCCCTGGTGCCCAGTTGACATACAGAAGAGGCTCCTGCTCCACCCACTGGAAGTCCCTCTGCGAGGCGTGGAGGCCAATCCAAAGGTCAAAGTTCACATTGGGGAGACTGGCTGTGATGAATGCTACAGTCCCCCAGAAGAAAGGCAAGAGTTGGCTCTGCTCTAATCAGTTGGGGGACTATACTGGAAGACAGAAGGGCCTCCTCATGGACTAACCCTACCTTGCTCTAAGGGGTTTGCAATGGTGATCAGCTGGGCCTCTTGCTGTTCACAGGAGAACTGTGCCTCTGACCATTTCACACGGTCCTGGGGGTCCTGGCCCTGGATTCGGAAACACTGTGGGGCATAGGATGTGAGTGATGTCCAGCTCTACATTGCTGTCCCACAAACCCAGAAACCATGCTGGGTATTCCTTAGCAGCAGATGCTCAGAGGCTTTTGGACTGGGACAGCAATATCAGAGTCGGGACAGAGGGTCACCCTGGGCAAGGCCCCACCCTCCTATCCTGGCACAAGATTCACATGCATTGCCCATATTCTTGGAGGATTTGTTGTTCATTTGAGACAGGGTCTTGCTATATAGCCCAGGCTGGCCTGAACTCATGATCTTCTTGCCTTAGCGTCCTGAGTGCTGGGATTATGGGGTACATCACCATACCCACCCTGTATGTGTATCTGGAGGGACAAAAGGATGCTGGTGAGTGTGTGCATGTGGAGTCCAGAGGACAACCCCAGATATCATTCCTCAGGTGCTGTTTACCTTGTTTTGTTTTGTTTTTTTGAGACAGGGTCTCTCACTTGTCTGGGGCTCACTGATTAGGCTAGGCTAGCTGGCCAGTAAGCTCCAGCCACCCTCCTTCCCAGCACTGGGATTCCAGCAGTATGCTACCAAGCCTGACTAAATTCTTTAAAAACAAATTGTGTGTGTGTGTGTGTGTGTGCATGTGTGTGTGTGTGTGTGTGTGTGTGTGTGTACGTATACACATGCATTCAGGAGGCCATGTGGGCATCAGACCCCCTGAAGTTGGAGTTCCAGGTGGTTACAAGCCACCTGATGTGGGTGCTGGAAACCAAACTTCAGTTCTCTATGAGAAGCAAGCACTGGGAACTGCTAAGCCATCTCTCCAGCCCCTACTTTTTAAAAAATATTTTATTTATTATTCTTCATTTTACATGTATGAGAGACGCTAAGCCATCTCTTCAGCCCGAGACAGGGTCTCCCTGTAGCTCCACTGTCCTGGAACTCACTATGTAAACCAGGCTGGCCTTGAACTCACAGAGTGCCTCTGCCTCCTGAGTGCTGGGATTAAAGGCGTGCGCCACCACGCCCGGCTTAAAAATATTTTATTATCCTTCATATTCTTCATTTTACATGTATGAATATATTACCCACATGAGTACAAATGCACCTGTGTTGTGCAATGCCCACGGAGGTCAGAAGAGGGTATCGGATCCCACTGGAACTGGAGTTCTGGACAGTTACTAGCCACCATGTGGGTGCTGGGAATTGAACCCTGGTCCTTCTGCAAGAGCATCCAGTACTCTCAAGAGCTGAGTCATCCCTCCGGCCCCTAGCTTCTACTTTTTATGTGGGTGCTGGAGATCACACTCAGGTCGTCATGCTTGTGTAGCAAGCGCTTTACCAGTTAAGCTCTCTCAACACTGTTTTTGTTTGGTTAGTTTGGTTTGGTTTTTGGTATGTGTGAGAGATGTGAGTGTGGGGGTGGGTGTGTGTGTGTGTGCAAGTACACACATGGATAAGTGTGTTGATCTTCAACCTATGCTGTCTGACACAGAGTTTCCTTTGTTTGCCGCTATGTATGCCCCTGAGCTTCCAGAAATTCCCCTGTCTCTGCCTTCCATTTCCCTGTGGTGGCATGATGGGATTACAGAAACATGTACACTACTAGTTTTTTCATGGGTTCTGGGGATCAGACCTTATTAGGCTATCAGGATTGCAGGACAAGTGTTTTACTCACTGAGCCATTTCCCCAGCCCATTTTAAAAATACATCATTTATTTGTGGGAGGTATGCGTGTGTCACATCGCATATATCGAGGTCAGAGAACAACTTGTGGGCAGTTGGTTCTTTCCTTCCATCATTGGGTCCCGGGAACCAAACAGGTCATCAGGCTTCGCAGCAAGCACTTTTATCCACTTGAACCATCTTGCTGGTCCCCATATTTTTAATGGGACAATTTCTCCAGGCCACCAAAGGCACCATTAACTACCTATGACAACAGCACAAAGGCCAAGCATTTGGAAGCCTGGGATGAGAGTTGTCATGCTTTCTGCTAAACACCTTTCTTGGTGCTAACTGAGATCTGTTATCTTGCCCTTTTGGCTGACATGACCATTTCCATCCTATTTTTATCTTTATTTTTGGATGGTCTTTGCCAGGGAATAGAAGGCAAGAGACTCCAGCTTGAACTTATTTATTCCTTCTGGCTCAGCTGTAAAGTGAGACTGAAAACCTGTCTTTAGGTTATGTCAAGGGTAACAACAGCAGTGTGACAAAACAATAGGCTCACACTAATAATTCGTTTTGCCAATATGGATAGCAGATCGGGGGTAGAAAACAGGGAACCCAGAAATAATTCAGGAGTCACCAGGTTCATGGATTTTGCTTCCCAGAAGTAGGTTCAGAGCCATGCTCAGGCTCTGCTTAAGTAACTGAAAATTTATCATCAAGAAGTAGCAAGGTTCTGCCAGGACCAGCAAGAAATGACTGCTGAAGAAACAATGTTCAGTTCAGTCTAGCCAAAGCTCAGGACATCCCAGCTATATTCAAAAAAATAAATGTATATGTATATATGCATAATTTTTTTGTATTATTTATTGTGTGGGGATGGGTAGGTGAATGGGGGCATGCATGCCATGGTGCATGTGCACGTGTGGAGATGAAAGAACAACCTGGAGTTCTTTCTACTATGGGGCTTGAACTCAGAGCATCAGGCTTGGCAGCAAGCACCTTTAACCATCTTGTGGGCTCTATATTATAGAAGGTACTAGTCCTGCCCTCCAGGAGCTGAAAGCTAGTGGGAGAGGCAAATCGATACGTGCTTCACCAACATCCAGATGATACAGGGATGCAAAGGAGGCACAGAACTAGGAAAGCGAAGTGTCTGGGGCCAGGCAGTGACAGAGCCTACAGTATTACACACTTCAAAACCTGGCCGGGCGTGGTGGCGCACGCCTTTAAGCCCAACACTCGGGAGGCAGAGGCAGGCAGATCTCTGTGAGTTCGAGGCCAGCCTGGTCTCCATAGCGAATCCAGGCCAGCTAGGGCTACAGGAAGACCCTGTCTCAAAAAAAGACCAAAAGAAAAAAAAGGTTTTGTTTAATAATTAGGTGGAAGTCATGTAAATAAGTTTTTGGGAAAATTAAATGATACAAGAAAATGTTCAAATACAACCTGAGAAAGAATAGCTACAGGTGAAATTGCATTATGTGCAGTGAGCTCAAGAACTTGGAAAGAGGCAGACAGCAGGATAACAAATGTGGACAGTAGGGGTCTCTGGAGAATGTGGCTGAGTTTTGTTTTCTTCCATAATTGTCAAAGTTTTAATACTGCCTATGCCTCATGGTTTTTTCAGGTACGTTTACAGTACTGGAATGTTCACTAACAGGCTGGCTGGGGTCAAATGTGCTCCAAGGATTTATGGACTATATCAATGTGATCCTCACAATAGAGCTAAGTGGTCTCTAAATGTCCTGCAAAGAAGCCAGGGCAGAAAGGGATGCCCACACACGACAGGGAAATAGGAGCTGGTAGAAACTCTGTCAAATGCTAGATGAAAACACTGAAGGTTAATCAGGTCTAAAAAGCAGCTCAAGGACGTAAAAGGAACTTGTCTAGGGAGAAACTCACATTGTATGAAGAGAGCATTTTGAAAGAGAAAAAGGGAGGGAGGAGGAGGAGGGAGAGGGGGAGGGGGAGGAAGATAGCTGTCCTTCGAGATCATCTTGGGTATTTACTCCAACCAGCAATTCATTTGGATAATATGTACCTTGTAACTCTCAGGATGACTAGGACTGGTCAAATCCCTAAGAGTGGCCTGAAATTTGCACTCATTTAATAGAACGTTTCTCAGAGCTTTAACTTTGTAAGTATTTAGCATTTTGAATTTATTTATCTACTATTATTTTTATTTTATGTGTATGTGTGTATTGCCTGCATGTAGGTAAGTGCACCCGTGTCATGCAATGCCTGCGGAGGTCGGAAGAGACTGTTGGATCCCCTGGGACTGGAGTTATGGACAGCTGTTAGCATTTTTTTCTGAGTTTTTGTTATTGTTGTTTGTGTTTGTTTGTTTTGAGAAAGTTTCTTTATACAGCCCTGGCTGGCCCAGTACTCACTATTGGCTACCACCCTTCAGTCTCAACCTCCAAGGTCTGGGGTCTGAGTGTCCACCGTCATTCCAAGCTTCCAAACACTTGGAAAGAGAATTTTCTAGACTTTTTAAAATGTGTATGAGTGTACTGCCTGCATGTATCTAAGTGTACTCATGCCATGCAATGCCCTCACAGGTCAAAAGAGGGCATCAGATCCCCTGGAACTGGAATTACAGATGGTTGTTAGCTGAGCCATTAGGGTACTGGGAATTGAACCCAGGTCCTCTGGAAGAAGAGCTCCACCCCCAGTCTAAATGCTTTTTAAAAGGAAAAAAACAAAAAACTAAGTCAGTGTGGTTGCACATTCCTGTCATCTCTGCACTTGGCAGGAAGATTAGGAGTTTAAGGTCATCCTCAACTATACACTAACATCAAGGTCAGCATGGGCTACAGGAGACTTTGTCTCAAAAAATCAAAATCTTCCAGAGCTGGGCCTAGTGACACGTTTGTAATCCTAGCACTCAGAAGGCTGAGGCAGGATTAGCAGTTCTAAATCCTGTCTCTATATTAATTAATTCATTATAAATACATCTTAAAACTCTTCCGGGGCTAGAGAGGTGGTTCAGTGGTTAAGAGCACTGACTGCTCTTGCAGAGGACCCGGGTTCGATTCCCAGCACCCACATGGCAGCTAACAACCATCTGTAACTCTAGTTCCAGGGGATCCAACACCCTCTTCTAGCCTGTGCATTTGCATGCACATGGTACACTTATAAATATGCAGGGGAAAACACATACACATAAAAAATAAATAAAAATTAAAGATAAAATAATGAAATACAGAAAGACAAGCATGGCACTATCTCATTCATATGTGGGATATAAAAACGTTAATCACTGGGGAAATGGCTCAATGGGTAAAATGCTTGTGCAAGCATGAAGGCCAGAGTTTGGATCCCCAGCACTCAAGTAAATGCTGGAGGGTATGGTGGCCCACCTGCAATACCAGTACTCAGGAGATGGAGATGGATGGTCTCTGGTGCAGGCTGGCTAGCTGACTAGACAAATCAGGGGGCTCCAGGTTCCAGTGAGAGAGCCCACTTCCATAAACAAGATGCAAAGAGATCAAGGGAGTACCCAAGGTCCACCTGTGGCTTCCACATCCGTGCATGTGCATTCGCTCACACATATGACCCCAAACATGCAAACATACGTGTACACACATACACTATGTACAAACACACATGTACAGAAACACATACATTCAAAAAAATAAGAATCGCTGGATGGGGATATAAAATGTTTGCCTGTCATGCACAAGACCCTGGATTCAATCTCCAGCACTTCTTAAACTGGGTGTAGTAGCATACACCTGTAATCCCAGCACTTGGGAAGTGAAGATGGGAGGATCAAAAGTTCAAGGTCACCCTCACCTACAAAGTGAGCTCAACAATGACCTGGGTTACATGAAACCCTGTCTCAAAAGGGGTAGCAGGTTTGATCTCTTGGAAGTTGAGACTAGGGGCTGGAGAGATGGCTCAGCAGTTAAGAGCACTGATTGCTCTTACAGAGGACCCTGGGCCCAATCCCAACACCCACGTAGCAGCTAACAGCCATCTGTCCAATTCCAGGGGAATCCAATGCCTTCTTCTCACCTCCTTGGGCATAACATGACATGGGTGCACTTACACACATGCAGGCAATACACTCATACACATAAAATAAAAATATTTTTAGAAAAGAAGTTGAGACTAGGGGCTGGAGAGACTAGGGGCTAAGCGGTTAAGAACACTGGCTGTTCTTACAGAGGACCCGGGTTCAGTTCCCACCACCCACATGGCAGCTAACAACTGTCCATAACTTCAGTTCCAGGGGAATCCCACACACTCTTCTGACCTACTCAGGCATTGCATGACATGGGTGCACTTACATACATGCAGATAATACACTCATACACATAAAATAAAAATAATAAATTAAAAGAAAATTTAAAAGCTGGGCGTGGTGGTGCACGCCTTTTAATCCCAGCACTCAGTAAGCAGAGGCAGGCAGATCTCTGTGAGTTCAAGGCCAGCCTGGTCTACATAGTGAGTTTCAAGACAGCTGGGGCTACAGGGAGACATTGTCTCAAAAAGACCAAAAAAAAAAAATTTTTTTTAAAGTTGAGACTAGAATAGTTGTTACAAGGGAAAGTAGGAAGGGGCGGGGGAAGATTGGTCAATAAACTAAGATACAGTTAGAGAAAAGCAAGTTTTGGTGTGCATTACACAGTAAGATGACTTAATAATGTGCTGAAAATAATGTATTGCATATTCCAAACAACTATGAGAAAGGACTTGGAATGCTTTACTATAAAGGAATACACCTTTAAGGAGACAGCTATGTTTTACTCTAACTTAAACATTATACAATGTATACATGTATCAAAACATTATTTAGCACTCCATAAATATCTATAATTTTTAGGTTTTCATGTGCCAGTTAAAAAATAAATTTAAGGGGCTGGAGAGATGGCTCAGCGGTTAAGAACACTGGTTGTTCTTGCAGAAGACCTAGGTTTGAATCCCAGAACCCACATGGCAGCTAACAACTGTCCATAACTCCAGTCCCAGGGGATCTGACAGCCTCTTCTGACCTCCACGGGCATTGTACAACATGGGTGCACTTACCTATTTGCAGGCAATACATGCATACACATAAAATAAAAATAATAAATAAAATTTAAAAAATAAAATTAAATTTAGAAGACATGGATTTTACATTGCAAAACAAAAAATAATAAAATTATGCAATCACATGGCTCTTATTAAAATTATGTAAATATTAATTATTACAACTGACCAGTTGAATGGGACCACACATGTTCATTCTACTAATACAGAACTCTTTTTTGTGTGTGTGACAGGGTCTCCCTATAGCCCCAGCTGGCCTGGAACTTGATATATAGACCAGGCAAGACTTGAACTCAGAGATCTGCCTGCATCTGCCTCTTGGGTGCTGGGAGTAAAGGTGTGCGCCATCACACCCAACTAGAATTCTTTTTAAAAAAATATTTTACCTATTATTTTTATTTTTTGTGTATGAGTCTAATGCCTGGATGTATGTAAGTGCACCTGTGTCATGCAATGCCCTCAGAAGTCATAAGAGGGCACTGGATCCCCTAGAACTGGAGTTGCAGGTGGTTATTAGCCACTATGTGGGTGTTAGGAAACAAACCTGGGTCCTCTGAAGGAGCAGCCAGTGCTCTCCTAGTCCCTAGACTAGATCTCTCTAGTCCCTAATAATAACAGCAATAATAATAGTAATAATAATATTGAAAGATGCTATCGTTTTTCAGACAGGATCTCACTATGTAGTCCTAGTTGGCCTGGAACTCACTATACAGACCAAGCTGGCCTTGAACTCACAGAGATCTGCCTGCCTCTATCTCCCAAGTGCTGGGATTAAAGGTATGCACTGCCATGCCCAGCTTAAAGATGTTATTTTTAAATCTTTGTCTGTTTTCAGTTGCTTTGTTCTTATGCACATTTGACTACATGTAATAGTCTCATTAGTATAGAAGTAAATATATATATTATTTATACTCCTATACCCATACATAAAGATATATACATACATATGGATTGGGTATATTCAATATTTGTTTTATTAATATGAGTTCATTATCAAAAGGTTTGGCAACCACTGATTTAGAAAATTCATTGAAGTATTTGGATAATCTTGCTCCCTATGGATCAGGTGTTATATACACTGAAACATTTTCCAAGGAGTCTAGCTTTGACATTGGAGCCTAGAGGTTGGTGGGGACAGGCAAGAAGCCAACATCCAGGACTCCTGAGACTCAGCTATCCCATGGTCCCATCCTTTTCCCTGGCTGTCTCGGTGATTCTTTCTAACCTCATACCTTATTGAGGAACTGGTTCCAGCCAGAGGGACAGCCCCCTAGGGCTGAAGGTGGCAGGTCTGGAGGCTGTGTCTCTCCAGAGCTGTTGCTGCGCTTGCAGATGTAGGGCAGGGCTGTGTGGCATTTCTGGTCTCCCCAGTCCTCTGTGAAAGGGGAAAAAGTTGTCACCCTAGGGCAGGTAAGGGCAGGCCGCATGCATGGAGAGTATGGGCTGGGCTCAAGTTCTCTGTGCTCTTGGGGCCACAGAGGCAGGCCCACTGCACCCTGGGTATAAGCCTTATTGGTTTTGCTAACAAAGAGACTGAGAAGAGACTAATAGCCCCTGCTGGGATCACCTGGCTACTCCAACATCAAACCCATCTTCATGCTTACAGCACCCTCTTGGGTCCTCCTCATCCTCACCTTGGCTGGCTGTCAGGTATACACACTTCTTGTCCTTGCCAATGGGTCGAGGTTTACCCGGTGCCCAGGAGATGAAGTTTATAATAGAGTCATCTGTCCACCTGCAACAGCACAAAACAGAGGTCCAGCCTGCCCTATGTACAGCACTGAGAGAACAAGACAGTAGCACAAAGAGGCTAGAAGATAAAGCTGCATAGCTCAGTGCAGCCACAGACCCCAGGACCTAGAGCCTCCAGGTAAGGCCCTGCCCAGCATGTACTCTCTTCTCTCAGATGCCTGAAAACCCCAGAGCCCAGATTTCCACAGGCCCCTGGTCCTGCCTCAGGGCCCTTTGATGCACCTAAACCAGACACTGAAAAGAGCCCCCTCTACATCATCATATGTTTTGTCCATGTCCTGAAATGCTTTCCTTATAATGTACCCCAGGCATAACAGGACAGAATGTCATTATTTAGTGCTTAGTGTGTGCTGGTTGTTGTGGCGAGGACTTCAATTTATTTATCAAACAGAACACTGTGATATCTAGACACCCTGTGGGAGGCATTTTGCTAGGCTCTGAGTCTTTAAGGACTTGAATTCTATCTTAGTGGATCCAACTGTATGAAGAGAAGCAGTGGTGACAGGGTGATCTCTCAACAGCACACACCACCAGTGTATCTAGAGCAAGGAACATCCAGATAGACAGCACAAAGTGAAGCAGCTTAACATTTTGGTATCTGATGTTTGGCAAACTAATATTTACTGTAAAATAACCTATGTGGTATGTGAACAGTAGTATTCTTGAATAAATCATGCCTTTTGCCATGTAAAATTTTTTTCATCTGTTTAGAAACTAACCTAGAAAATATCACCACTGTGGGGCTGGAGAGACTGCTCAGCTGTTAAAAATGCTTGCTGCTCTTCCTGAGGACCCTCCCAGCACCAACATCAGGTGGTACACAACCACCTATACCTCAAGTTCCAGGGGATCTAATGCCCTCTTCTGGCATCTCGGGGCACTGCATGCAGGTGGTGCACTTACATGCATACAGGCAAAACATTCATACACATAAAATAAAAATAATATCTTTAAAAATAAAATATCACCACTAGATATAGAAATGTAGAGAAAACCTTTTGTGTGGTTTTCTTTTTTTTGAGGTTTTATTTGTTCAGGGATTAAGACCAGGGTCTCATGAATGTTAGGCAAGCACTCAACCACTGAATTACATCCCCAGCCCCTTAATTTGTTATTTCTAATTCTCACAAGAATCCCGGGAGGCAGGCTTCACTATAGCCACCTTCAGATGAGAAAGCCAAGGTCACTTACTTGTCAAGGCCATCCAGCCAGTGAGGAGCCGAGCTGAATTCAAATGCAGGTCTATCTGTCTCTGTTTGGTCAGCCCCGATATCGCTAGCTTGGGGACACAGCTAGTCACTCACACATGTGCCCCCTCTCACACCTGCTGCCCACCAGAGCTCCCACCTGAAGCGGCCATCATTCTCAGAGGTGTGCAAGCCGATCCACCAGTGCTGTTCCTGGCCTGAGGAGAACTGGGGAAGACGGAAGCAGGTGAAGGCTGGCAGCTCCACTATCCTCAACCTTCATGTCTTTTCCCAGCCCATAAACACTTGCTGCCTCTCATGCCCACCTTCTGCAGATTGTGCCCCAGGAAGTCCAGCTCTGCCTGGCTGTGAACAGAGGTCAGATTTGCCTGAAACCAAGTACAGACGCGCTGTGCCTGCTCCCATGAGGAGTGGTGTTCAAAGAACTTGTATTCTGCCTCCTGGAAGCGCAGCCACTCCCGCCGGCCTGCTGGAGCAGCAAGGGGTGGGGACTGAGGCCAGGCCTCTAGACAGGCCCCTGAAAGCATGGGGCTTGGGCAAGCCAGAGCAGGAAGCAAGCAACTGGCAAGGACAATGGACTTGGGATGGGCTCTGGGCTTGACCCTCCTGCCACATCACAGAAAGTAGGGCTGTGGCATCCAATGCTAGCTGATTTGGTCCCCTTTGGGATGGAACCCTTGATCTGCTTGGTTTTATTCTATGCTGAGGTGGGGAGCAGATGGCCTGGGGGTCTCACCTTGTGTGCCAGCATCTGGCTCCTGCACATCCACACCTACAGGATAACAGTGAGAAAGATGTTAGGGGAGAGGGGTCCTTCCCAAGATCCCTGACTCCAAAGCTCTTGTCCAACACTTGTCCACAACCTCACCCCAACTTAATACCACACCCAACCTCTAGGGATCTTGCAGATCCAGTCAAGCTGTGTCTCGCACTGCATGGCTACCCACTGCAGGGAGGCCAGGTCCAGCACTGCACAGCCCCGGATGTCATCGTCATCATGCCGGCTCCGGTCAAAATTGTGGTAGGAGAACTGGAGAGGGGACAGAGAAGGAAAGAGGGATGTTTAAGAGGTGAACAAAAGACCCAGCCTGAGCTGGGAATCTCCAACCTGGCTGAGTGTCCATTTTCTAACCACTTTCTTTTAACCTGCCCACACACTGGCCAAAATCCGTACCCATACCAGGCCCTGCCTGCCCTAGCAGGCCCCCACCCCACCCAAAACCAAGCCCTACCCACCTCCCCGGCCTGCCTCCTCCAGGGCCCCTCACCCCTAGGCCATCGCTCCAGCGCCAGCTCTGACCCTCTCTAGGGTCCCGACGGTTCAGGCCAATCCAAAACCAGTGCTGCTCATGGATCTCAGGCTCTGATTCACTTCAGGGTGAGGACAGAAGAGAGAGGAATTGAGAGTGGCTGGGGTCCAAACACAACACCCAGCATTGCCAGCTGTGACCTTGGCGGCCTCCAGTGTCTGAGGCCTCTCCATTGCAGCTGCACACTGACCCACCAAGGCAATGTGTTCTTTGTTAAGTTCCCTCCCTACAGATAAGGAGAGCTGGACCAGGTACTCTACTTAGCTCAAAAAAGCAATGGCCTGGCTTCCCTGCCCTTGGCTTCTGTCTAGGATGCCCTGCCCAGCAGGAGTCTGCATCCTTTTCATTTGAGGGAAGTTAAGAAGCTGATGGACATATAGAAGAACAAAGATCTGGAGCTAAATAAATACAGATTCAAGTTATGGTTCACCATGGACCTGCTGCGACCTTGAGCAAACAACCTAACTTGAACCAAAGTCACCCTGTGAAGTCACTGGGAATGTCTGTTGAATAGGGTGCTGAGGGTCTGAACAAGTGTTTAGTGGAGCTTGTGGGACTTAGTGAGTGGTAAGAAGTGGCGAACGTGGGCTGCCGTAATTACTAGTCAAGTGAAACAATCCTGACTGCTGGGAAGAGATTCCCCTAGAATTAAGATCTCAGGAAGCCTGGGTCCATTTGGATTTTTCCCCAGTATTAAAGGATTACGAATGCCATAGATTACAGTGTACCATAGATTACAGTGCCTAGAGCCCACAAGACAAAGATGGGGTCCTGTCAGGGCACCACCCCCCTTTTCCCTGCCCAAGCAAATAGTTTCAGCTTTGCTCCTATCTTGGGGGATGCTTTATTGCGAGAGGTAGGTTATGGGATGCTGCCAGGGTCACTCAACTTAGATCAGCCTATAGAAGATCTGAAAACTGTATCTGAGAGTGTTGCTGGCTCCATGATGCAAGCTAGTAACAGTCTCCTATGAGTGAGTGGGTCACTTCTCACCCAAGATCCCAGGGGACTATGGCTACTTGAATAAGACAAGATGGTTCTGGCACTACTGGCAGCAGATACAGATCATTCCAAGCCTCAACCAGGCCCCACTAGGGCTACCTTCACTCTGCCCACCCCTTTGCCCTAAGCCCAGCAAAACCAAGACCCTGGCAGACACACCTGCTCCCGCCCATGTGCAGGCAGCCACCCCCCAGGTTCAGTACCCAAAGATCTTGTTGAGCATGTTGGCCACAAAGTGTTCCTCCTCATAGCTGGCCAGGCTCAGCAGCTGGGCCCCCAGCTCCCGGCAAGCTCCCTGAGCCTGAATCCAGCTTTTCTTGTCCTGCAGTCGCTCTGAGCTGAACACCTGCAGGAGCAAATTCAACTGTCTAAGCTGTGCCCATGGCCCACATCCCCAAGGAACACCTGCCACCCCCAATGACAGCAAGAGGGTGGGGGTGCTGTGGTCTCATCAGGCAGGGGTAGCTAAGGACAATCCTATCTATCTCTCTGGGAAAGGAAGCTGGCACTGTCAGCTCCTGGCAAGTGCCCCTGTACCCCATCCCCAGGCCAGGAGTCAGTGCTCCAACCTGAACAGAGCCACAGCTCACCATGGACAAGTACTACCTCTATCTAGACTTTGATTTCTGCACATAATAAAAGACCTTGGAAGCCAGACATGGTGGCACATGCCTACAATCCTAACACTTAGGAGGCAGAGGCAAAAGGATCAGGAGTTCAAGGACATCCTCAAATACACAGTGAATTTGAGGCCAGCCTGGGCTACCTGAGACCTTGTCTCAAAACAACAATGACAAAAGACCTTGGAAGTTGAGCATGCAATTCATGTCTGTATCAGTACTTGAGGAGGCTAAATCAAGACTGCCAAGAGTTGATGGCCAGCCTGGGCTATAGAGTGAGCCCCTGTCTCAAAAACAAATAAACAAAAAATCCAAAACAACAAAAAACATTAATGGCTCCCAAGCCTGGCAGACCACCAACACCCCACCCCGCCCCTGCCCAAATCTTATGACTCCAAATCTCCACAGTGGCAGCCTAGAAGACTTTCTTTTTGTTTAATTGCTCTGTGGTACTAGGGGTGGAATCCAGGGCTTTGCACGTGCTGGATTAGAAGATTTTCTTTTTATCAAGCTCCCCAGATGGTTCTAAAGAACATGCTAGGGTCTGCCTCTGAGACTAATGATCTCTATGCATCTGCTATGTATCCACTGACAACTTTTATTTACTTATTTTATGTGTATGAGTGTTTTGCTGGCATATAAGTACACCTGTGTCATACAATGCCTGTGGAGGCCAGAAGAAGGTGTCACATCCCCTGGAACTACAGTTACAAATGGTCATTAGCCTCCATGGGGTGCTGAGAATCGAACCCAGGTCCTCTGCAAGAGCGACCAGTGCTCTTAACTGCTGCCCCATCTTTCCAGGCTCACTGACAACTTTTTCATCAGAAATTACTCCAGTCTGTAGTCTGGGCTAGGGCTCAGTGTCATGATGGTCCCTAGGTCCCCCCAGGTGAGCTACCTCAGTGCCCTTGTCTTCCCCTACCCCCAACCATGCCAACAGGATATCCTACCTTATAGCAGTGCCGGAGTTTGGGGTCTGAAGCCCAGCCCTGGGGACAGGAGCCAGTGAGGCTGGGTGTGGGGTCTGGCTCAGGCAGCTCTGGTGTCACAGGTGTCCCCAAGCTCTGTCGGCAGATGTAGCGAGCCCGGAACAAGGTGCAGTTCTTTACCTCCCATAGCCCCATGGCACTCCCTGTGGCCAGAGCCACACAGCCTCCACGGCTGTACCCTGAGAAGAGAGAAAGGAGATGTACACAATGTGGAGGATTGACATCCTGGGACACCAGCCCCAACACTGGGAACAGCCCAGCCATCTCTATAGGCTCTGTGGGGTCAGCATCCAGATGAGATGAAGGAATGGGGCAGACTCCTAGTTCTGAGGCTGCTTTCTATAGATCTTAGGCAAGTTTCTTACCCTCTCTGAGCCTGTCTCTTTACATGGCTCATTAAGCTATGGGAAGGGTTAAAAAGATATTGAAGTTGGCTACAGTGGTATATACCTATAATCCCAATATCAAAGTAAGGCAGGAGGATTGCTGTGGGGCCAGCCTGGGCTCCATAGTGAGTTCAAGGCCATTCTGAGCTACACAGTAAGACCCTTTTTCAAAAAAAGACAATACATGAAATTTTTAATAATTCTAATATCAAGTACTATATCATATGTACTACTGGATACACATTACATGTATGATCCCTTTCCCTCTGTTAAATATATATAATTTAATATTTTTATTAATTCTTTGAGAATTTCAAACAATGTATTTTGGTCATATTCAGACCCCTCTCCCCCATTTCCACCCCCACCTGATTTCATGCCCTTTATTAGTTTTTGTGTGTGTGTGTCTTTTTGAGACAGCCCCAGCTGGCTTCGAACTCACTATGTAGACCAGGCTGTCCTGAACTCACAGAGATCCACCTGCTTCTGCTTCATGAGTACTGGGATTAAAGGCATGTGCCACCACACACAGATTTTTTTTGATCTTTTTGAGACAGGGTCTCCCTGTAGCCCCAGCTGTCCTAGTACTCATTATGTAGACCAGGCTGGGCTTGAACTCACAGAGATCCACCTGCCTCTCCCTCCCGAGTGCTGGAATTAAAGGTGTGCACCACCATACCCGGCCACAGTAGATTTTTTAATTAAAAAAAAAATCTATGGGGCTGGAGAGATGGCTCAGTGGTTAAAAACACTGGTTGTTCTTTCAGAAGACCTGGGTTCGAATCCCAGAACCCACGTGGCAGCTAACAACTGTCCGTAACTCCAGTCCCAGGGGATCCGACAGCCTCTCTGACCTCCGTGGGCATTGCACAGCACGGGTGCACTTACCTACATGCAGGCAATACACACACATAAAAATAATACATTAAAAAAATTTTATTTATTTGTATTTTATGTGTATGCATGTTTTGCCTGCGTGTATGAAATGCACTATATATGTGCAATGCCTGTGGAGGTCAGAAGTAGGCATTGGATCCCCTGGAACTTGAATTAAGGATGGCTGTTAGCTATCACATAAATGCTGGGAACCAAACCTAGGTCCTCTGTAAGAGTAACCAATATTCTTAACTGATGAGCCATCTCTCCAGCCCCTTATTACTGTTTTTTAAGACCTATCAAGTTTAATGTGTTCCTAATTGTTCTTGGATATGGGTCCATCCTCTGGAGCCTAGTCAATCTACCTGGCCTCATACCCTTGAAGAAAACTGAGTCTCCCTCCCCTAGTGGCAATCAATTGCCAATAGTTCCTCAGCTAGAGTTGGGGTTTCTTGCCCACCCCCCGCCCATGCTGGAATTTTGTTTGGTTTGAGCTTGCATAAGTCTTATGCATGCTGTCACAACTGCTGTGAGTTCATACATTAAATATATATTTAAGCCTTACTACGAGGAATGTACCATTATTCCCATTTGACAGATGGAGAAACAGGCTCAGAGGAGGCCCAGCTAGCAAACAGCAGCATCAGGATTTGAGCAGGGTGGTAGGCTCCAGAATGCCTATGTTCGTACCCAAGAGCCCACACACAGTACAAATGAGCAGTTTACAGGGATGCTCTTGAGCTCAGTCTTGGCAAGGCTGTGTGTTCACCAAGGCCTCCCTATATCAAGGTCAGTCAAAGAGAGGTGGTCAATCACCAGGGAGGTGGGGAGTTTACCAGGCTGGTCCCTGTTCCAGTGGGTGTACATGACCTCATCCCCACTGAGCCAACGGAAGGAGCCAGTGCTGTTGAGGTCCTGCAGGGCTGTCCAGAAGTACTCGCCCTCCCAGTTATAGATGAGGCTGCTGACGAAGGCTTGCTCGAACCTTCCAAAGAAAGGATGGTCAAGGCAGGAAGCTTACTACCAATTTTCCCCAAGCCCTGGACCTTAGACAAGACACCCTGCCCTAGAAGCTTGGGTGCTGTGCGCAGCCAGCAACTTTCTGGGGGAAATGGGTACCCTTGAAGTCTCACAAAGCAACAAAGTTCCCACCACAGTCCATGCTCCTTGCCCTGTCTTTCTTGGGCATCCCACTTACACCTGTGCCCACCCCACTCCTATTCCACCCTGGGGTCACTTAACCACAAGAGTCTTTCTTGTAACACGATAGCAAAAAGTCCCTGGAACCCACTGAGGCTCAAAGGACTACAGGTCCCTGTGGGCAGATCATAAGAGAGAAAGCTGTCTACGGTTCCTGACGCCCCTGTACCTGTTAGTGATGGTGACCAGCTGAGAGCCGTGGTCAGTACACAGGCGCCTGGCCTCGCTGTAGGTCACCTGGTCCTCTCCCAGCCAATAGCAGGATGGGCTATGCCATGTCCAACCCTAGCTCAAGAGAGAGAGGGTGGAAGGGGGTGTCTGTGACAAGAAGAACTTTATCTGCAAATGCTTGAGCAGGGGGTGACATCGTGGTATCACTGGGTATGTGCAGGACAGGGAGGACCCCACAGAGGGTAGCGCCTGTGCTATGTTTGGCACTTGGTCACTGTCAGCCCTCCTCACTCCTCACTGGAGTCCACAACTGTTAGACCATGGAGGAGGCACCACTGTGGGCCGCTGATGCACCTGGCACATGGCCTGGCTCAGAGAGAGAGATAAGTAGCATTTCAACCAAGAAGTACAGGAATTGGTACTTCTGTGGTGAGAATGCATGTCTAGCATCTGTGAGGCCCTGAGTTAGTCTCTACTACAAAATAAAAACAATCAGGGCCTGGAGAGATGGCTCAGTGGGTAAAATGCTTGCCATGCAAGCATGCAGGCATGAGCCCCAGTTCAATGAGAGACTCTGTCTCAATAAAACAAGGTGGACAGCTCCTGAGGAATGATCTCTGCCCCCCTAAACAGGCACCCACACATGTGCATTCACCCTCACATATACCCACATGAACATGTATCCCCACATATACTCATACAAATAAATAAGAATGGAGCTGGCAAGATAGCTCAGGGGGAAACCTGTGTAAACTTGTATAAATCTGATGACCTGAGTTCAATCCTCAGATCCCACAGTGGAAGAAGAACCAATTACTGAAAGTGTCTTCTGACCTCCAAAATACACACTGTGGCATATGCATGTGCACACACACACACACACACACACACACACACACTCCCATCATACACACACAATAACAATAAAGAGAAATAATATAAAATAGATAAATAATAATAATTGGTATTGGAGGAATGTGTCAGTTGGTTGGGACACGAGAGTTGAAAAGCTGGGGGGAGATGAAAGAATGCAGAGGGGGCTGAGTGGTCCTCAGGGGTCTGGAAAGGGTGGAGTCAGGAGGATGTATCTGGGGTAGTTGGGGCAGAGGCAGACCTTTAGTGAGGAGAAGAGACCCCCCCCTCCCAGTGCAATAGCAGCAAGAGTCAGGGGGAGGAGGAGTAGAGCCACCAGGTGCCCAGAAGGAGCAAAAATCCCCAGATATTCTGGTGTGTTACCCTTTAATACAGTTCTCTCTCTCACACACCTTGAACACAGTTTGTTTTCTCTCTCTCTCTCTCTCTCTCTCTCTCTCTCTCTCTCTCTCTGAACCTACAGACTCATACATGCTAGGCAAGAATTCTATATCTCTAGTCCCTCTCTGCTGGCCTCCATCACCTACTCCATTTCTCTCAAGCCAGGACAGAGCCAATCCCTGAGCTCACTGACCCCAGACTCCTCAGCTGGGCCCCTGCCTGCTCTCTCTCCCTCCTCCAACAAGCGTGATCCTGCCCTCTGGGCTGCGGGAAGGAGTTTAATCCAAAGAAAAACACTGAGGAGTCATACCAGCAGCAAAGAGCTGGTGTGCTGAGGGGCAAGGAACCAAAAGGCCACAAAGTGAGCTTTATGAGCAGCCTCCCCACACATCACACCACTGCACCCCCACTATACAGTGCTGGGGTACTGGGTCAGGGAGGCCCATTACCCACTTACCCTCATTCAGGCTTAGCCCCTCTCACTCACCTTTCATAATGTCTACCCCCATCCTCCAGAAGAGATAGTCAAGCACAAGCTATGTCAAACTGAGATATATATCAGCAAGGCACGGGGGAAAGAGGCCTGGGACACAGAACCAGCCCTTCCAACAGCCAACTCCCACTATGATTGGGCCAGGCATGACTGACCATCTAGCTGCCGCCTCCTTATACTCTGTTGTCTCCATGGTGAGAGACTCAGAGCTGGAGTGTGGCCCTCTGCTTCGCCCCACTCTGCCCGACTCCTTCAGGAAGGAGCAGTTGGAAAGCTGGAGGGCAGGAAGATGCTGGGAAAGGCTACAGGATTCCCTCCATCTCTCCTTACCTGGCAGCTCCTGGGGCTGGCCCACCTGGGGCCATTCCAGAAACACCCTCACCTTCCGGCAGCCATGGTCCTCCTCAGCAGCTCCCTGGCTCAGCTGGCCTGCCTTCTTGCAGATGGATGGCAAGGACTGATTACAGGGACTGTCATTCCAGTGCCCTTCCTAGGGACAACATAGTAAGGGAGTCTTACCCCAAATTTCCCCTTCCCTTAATCTAACCATTCTGCCAGCCTGGTTTCTAGACCTGAACCAGTCTCTACCTTGCTATGTGATTCTTAGCAACTAGCCTGATCACTCTGTGTCTCCAGACTGTTCGGTGGAGAGAGAAGAGTTAGTTCAATAGGCCTCACAGGTAAATAAAATAACAAATTATTGATATAAAAATGCCCTGAAACTTTAATAAGCACAGTCTAAATGGGAAATGATGTTCTTTATATTTGGGCTATTTTGTAAATATTAAAGCCAAACCAGCTAAAATTGTTAGAGTAACTAGGGAGGACAGATAGATGTGATTCCAAGATGTCTAGTACTCTCCTTTTACCCAAAGGGGATGTGTTCTAAGAACTCACCCCCCCCATGAACATCTGAAACCACAGATAATCCCAAATCATATGTGTGTGTGACATACACATATAGACATAGTCTATCTTTCTATACCTTTGACAAAGTTTAATCTATAAATTAAGCACAGTAAGAGACTAACGTTGGGGGCTGGAGAGATGGCTCAGCAGTTAAGAGCATTGACTGCTTTTTCAGAGGACCCAGTTTCTATTCCCAGCACCCACATGGTGGCTAACAACCATCTGTAACTCCAGTTCCAGGGGATCCAATGCCTTCTTCTGACCTCCTTGGACATTGCACAACACGTATTACACACATGCAGGCAATACACTCATATACATAAAATAAAAATAATAAAAAAGAGGCTAATATTAACTCATAATAGAAATGATAACACATTGTAATAAAAGTTACTGAATGCTGCCAGGCATGGTGGTGCACACCTTTAATCCCAGCACTCGGGAGGCAGAGGCAGGCGGATCTCTGTGAGTTCAAGGCCAGCCTGGTCTACATAGTGAGTTCCAGGATAGTTGGGGCTACAGAGAGACCCTGTCTCAAAAAGACCAAAAAAAAAAAGTTATTGGATGCTTGTTTCTGAAATTTTACATTTAATTACTTTCAATTGTGGATAAGCTTAGGTAACTGAACCATGAAAACTAACTCCAGGGATTTTACCCCAGAGCTACTGAAGAGATTTGAGGCTGGTGTGCCCAGACTCAAATCTCAGCTAGTGAAGTTGAAGAGGAATTAGTTCAGGGCCAGTATGAACACCTGAGTCCTCCTCAGTATCCCCAGCCTCCCTGCCACCAGCAGCATGTCCACCGTTAAGCTCCATTTTGCATTCAGCATCCAGAAAATGTCTGGCATGCAGTAGACACTCAACAAATAATTGTTTTTATATTTTTAAATAGCACCCCCTAAGACAAATGGCTCTGCTGCTACAATCCCTGCTACTGTAGCTAACAGCATAATGTTCTATCTGTCCCAGGGATGGGTTATCTGTCCCTGAGGCTTAGTTTCTCCTCTGCTTGAAACCCTGCCTCAATTCCTTCACTCACCCACACCAGGTCTATATCAAGGTCACAGAAAACAATGATCACCCTTAGGAGGGTCCTGAAGGGCAGGGGTTGGAAGAGAGCAGCCCTGCCTGCCCAGTTTCCCTATCATGTGGGTTCTGGTGCCACCTGCTGGTGGGTAGGAGCAGCTGACAAGAGACCAAGAATAGGCCTGCCAGCATGCCTAAGGCTTCTAGAAAATTATCTCCTCCTGAGGTAACTTGGCCAAGGTGACTCAGCTGGTAGAGGTGGAGGTGGGATTCCAACCCACCAGCCACTCTCATGGAAGGTGGGGATAGGGGCTGCTGAGAGGACCATGTGGGGGTGCTGATAGAACATGTATTCTTTGGCTGGGAGGGAGCACCAGAACACGGGGAGTGGGGTAAGTGGTGGATTCTATGGCCCTATGACGGGGAAGAGAGTCTCACCGGTCCCCAGATGGTCACACAGTCCTCCAGAGTGTCACGGAAGTTGTTGGGCTCAAAAGGGTGCCAATGGGTAAAGCTCACAAGGCTCCCGTCAGACCACTCAAAATTCATCTGCAGTTTCAAATCGTTGAGGCCGATCCACAGCTCCTCTACCTCTGGGTGCAGTAAGAGAGGAGAGGAGGTAAGAGAAGGCACTGAAAGGACAACTTCAGCAAGGGCAGGGAGAGAAAAGCATTCTCTGAGCTTCCTGGGCAGGAAAGGGTACAGGCAGCTCCTCACCTTGCTTGATCTGCTTGGTGATGAACTCCAGCTCTGCCATGCTGTGGATGCTGAGCAGGTCCCCCCCACCCCGCAGACAGGCCTTCTTGGATTCCTGCCAGCTGCGCTTCTCCGCCTGCAGGCGATAGCAGTAGCCTTGGAAAGGCTGCCAGCTCGGCTCACACTCCACCTTGACGTTGGTCCACCTGTCTGTGGAGAGGCACACAGCGGTGCTGAGACAACCCACTGGGTATCAGACCGCATCCCCAAACCTGCCTCACATCTGCCTGCTCCTAAGAGAACAGTCTTGTTCTTGATACTTAAAGCCAAAACCCTTCACAGCTGCTGGAAGTCCAAGGGTAGAGGCCCAGGGGGTGGTGGCAGATTCCAGCTACAACAGGACAGGCCCTCAGGCTGAGGCTCTAAGAAAGAGAAGGGTAGTGGAACAGGACACACTCATCTCCTGAACCAGTTTCTCCTGTAAATTTAATTCAAAGACTCAAATTTAGCTCATGGCCACCTTGCCTAATAAATAGAACTTCACGGCTGGAGAGATGGCTCAGCAGTTAAGAGCACTTACTGCTCTTACAGAGGACCTGAGTTTGGTTCCCAGCACTCATATGGTGGCTAGCAACCATCTATAACTCCAGTTCAAAGGGATCCGATAGCTCTCTGGCACTAGGCACACACATGATGCACATCCATACATACAAGCAAACACTCATACATAAAATAAAAATAAATCCTTTTAAGTAAAAAAATAGATAAAATAAATGGAACCTTTAATGTCTCTCAAATAACATTTACTGACCACCCCGTCTGTTTGGCCTTGGCGGTATTGGATGGAAGGAACAAGGAAAGGGACCTGGAGTGAATAAAGTAGCCCAGTCTGACCTTCTGGGAGGCAGACTGAACAGCCAGAACATCACAGGGTGCATAAACTCATGCTGACTGGCCACATCCCCTGACTCAGATTGCTCCCTTGCTCTTTCCCTTGGGATAACTCTTCCTCCTGCATCCCTAGAGCCCTTTCTTGCACCTACAACCAAGCCTTTCTGGTCCACAGGCTAGAGATTGCAGTCCAAGGACACCTGAGGGAACAAGTCCTCACTGCTTGGGCAGAATTCTCCCTGGCCAGGCACAAAGACGTGTGCCCAGCCTGGGATTCTGAGACCAGCTCCATTCTGGTCCACTCTCAGTGCTCCAGCCATACTTTTGCTGGAGAGTCAGAAAAGTGGGTAGGCTGAGAGCAGGGATCAGCTCGCTCCAGGGCTCAAGATGTCAATCATCTTCCACTAGCCAATGAGCTAAGACCTTGGGTTGCAGTCCCAGACAAAACAGATTTTGATGACTGTTCAGTCCTGAGGGTGCCTAAGGGAATGCAGGACACTCCTGAGATGTGGTATCTGCCTTTGAAATGACATGCCCATGAGGATGAGATGTAGAAATGCTTAGAACATGCCTCTTGCCAACAGCTTGTGGGGAGGAGGGGATGGATGGGGATGGGGAAGGGAAATCTGAGCCACAGACTGGTCTGTAGATCCTAGTGGCTCATGCCTCTTGCAAACAGCTTGTGGTCTGTAGATCCTAGTGGCTCAGCCTCTTGCAAACTGGTCTGCAGATCCTAGTGGTTCATGACTCTTGCAAATAGTTTGTGAGGAGGAGGGTATGGATGGGGATGGGGGAGGGAAATCCGAGCCACAGACTGGTCTGCAGATCCTAGGGCTCAGCATCCAGAATCTGTCTCTAGCAAGTTTCATAGTCCTGAGCAGAAATTTGCACATTTTTACTTGTTTGTTTTTCCTCTGTGGATTTTTATTTTCCCTAGCCATGCTGTATTTTCTTTATGAAAACCACTTCAGCAACCCCACAGCTACCCCACCAACAGTAGCCCCATCATCTTACTGTAGCAGCAAATGCAGGTCACATAAAGACACACTTCCAGGCCAGGCCAGGCCAGGCCAGGCCAGGTCTCCAGTGTTACAACAACCCTGCAAGGGGGCGGTGCCTTCATTCTCAATTTGCAAAACTCTACACCTCAGAGACCAAGCTGCATGCTCAAGGCCAAGAGCCCAGGAAGGGGCAGTCCCCAAACATTATGCCTTTGAATCACTTCTGTGAGCAAGAAAACACCCCCCTGGTTTAAAAGCTTTTAGAGTCCCCTGTGTCCGTGTCATTCCCCCCACCACCACCACCTCACTTCTCCCAGCAGCCAAGCCTCTTCAGAGACTGGCTGCAACCTGCCTTTCTGCACTCTCATCTCATTGTGGGAAGCCAGCGCTTCCCAATACAGCAGGAACTGTCCTGCTGTATGAATCACCTGGGGTGGGGGTAAGGTCTTGGTAAATGAAGGTTCTGAATCAGTTCATTGGGGGTGGGGCCTGCCAGTCTACATTTCTAACAGGCTTCCAGGTGATGCTGGGCTGCCACACTCAGTAGTTAGCCCCTAGTTCCCTTTAAACTACAGGACTCTATCCCTTTGGGAGTTTTGGGGATTCCATATCTCCCACAAGTAGTTACCTTTGCCAGAAAATGCTTCTCTCCCCCTGCCTTTGTGAGAGTGTGTACATGTGCAGATGGAGGCCGGAGGCCATCATCAAGTACTATACCTTTTTCCTTTTTTGGTAGTGTGAGCTTGCCTAAGTAGGCTGGCTGGCCAGTGAGCCACAGGGATCCATCTGTCTCTGTCTCTCTAGGGTTGGTGTATACCACCACACCTGGCTTTTTATTTTAACATGGGTTCTGGGGATTAAATTCAGGTCCTTGTATTTGCAAAGCAAGCACTATACCAACTGACCTATCTCCCCAGCTCTCCTGCCTTTTAAACTGACTATCAACCTGAAAGGCCCAACTCGAATGTCAAACCTTCAACTCTCAGAAGCTTAATCGGTTTCTCCCTCTTGCATGTAATATATATATCTAGATATATATATAGATAGATAGATGATAGATAGATAGATAGATAGATGATAGGTAGATAGATAGATATAGATATATATCTATAGATATATATATTATATTCATAGCCCATAGCTCAGGTTATTTTAATTATGTGTTAAAGTGCCCATGCCTTCCAGCAGACTGTAGTCTCCACAGAGCCTGGCAAATATTGCTAGTTTTTAACACAGTTCCCAATAAAATGTCCACTGAATGGATTAATGGCATATTCCAATTTTTTCAGACTAACCATTTAATAGAGGATCAGATCAGAGTCACTCTGTGCTTGGAGGGAACAAGCAAGGCTGAGCCAGCTGGGCTGTGACCCTGATGACCCTTAGTCCTGCACAGTGACCTGCTCACCTGGCTGGATGGGCTCTGTCGTGGCATTGGGCTTCTTCTTGCACACATAGGGCAGTGCGATGCTGCAGTCACGGTTTTGCCAGCCACCTGAGGACTCCGTGCGGATCACTCCACAGTTCTCTTCACTTGGGTTGTCTGGCTGATCTGTGGGGCAGGCAGGGGGCCAGGACCCCAGGAAAGAGAAGCTCACACCATGGACCTTGGGTGCCCTCTTCAGAGCCTCCTGTCTCCCCCCACTCCAGCTTCCCACACTCTGCCACTGGGTTACCTTTGCTTTCTAGCCTGGGCCCACATCATCCTGAATCCCCCAGACTCAGCAATGTGTGTTCCAGCCCCTGTGTCCCTGGCCAGATCCTGCACTGATGCAGCTACCTATGCAAAAGCTGTGAGTAAAAGATGAAACCAGGTCCACTCACCAAGTTCTGGGACTGGGCCAGGTCTCACTGCCTGAGGAGAAGGGGGCGGGCAGTTCCTACTTCGCACCAAGGCACTCACTCCTAGTGGGGCCCATTCCAGGAGGGGCTGGAAACCCAGGCTTCCTACCTCCACTGCTCACCCAGAGCAAGGCAGAGGAAGCCAAGTGCCTCTGAGGTCCCCGTGTCTCACCGCTCTCCCAGTTGAGGTACTTGAGGGGCGAGTTGTCTGACCATTGCCAGCCGCCACTGGTGTCCAAGTCATTAAGGCCGATCCATAGTGTGGAGCTATAACCGGTAAGGAGTCCTGGCAGCACGATGGGGTCAGTGAGAAGAGGGAATCCCTTTCCGAAGCCCTCCCACCTTCTCTTCTCTCCCTGCCTCCCCACCAGCAGGAAGAGTGGGGAACCCCAGCGTGGGTCAGACCCTAGCCAACAGGCTGGGCCCCTGGGGCTTCCCTCCTCCTCACCATTGATGTAGGTCTGCTCGTGGATCTCTGTGATGCTCAGCAGATCTGCGCCCTGCTGTTCACAGCTGGCCCAGGCCTCTCTCCAGGACAGTGTGGACTGGAAGTTAAACTGGTAGCAGCTGTCAGTCAACTGGTCCTTGTCCCAGAAGGTCTCACAGTCATTACCTGCCACCACCACAGACAGACAATGGTCCTTCTCCAACTCTCAGACCCCACATAAGACGGACAACTTCTCACCCCTGAAAGTTCTTCTGCCCACATTGACACCCTGCCCTAGTTCCCTGTCCATCACTAGCCTCCCTCCAGGCTCCTTCCCACCCTGCCTGATTCTCACTCTTGATAGGGCAGAATCCCCAGCGTTCATCTCTGCCATAGTCCTGAGTGGTGGCACACCACAGGTGCCCATCCTCACGGCCCGTGCTGGTGCAGCCATGGAACCACTGGTTGTCGTATTTGAAGGGGATGGTGCATGGCTTCCCATGGGAGTTTCCCTGGATGGTATAGACCTCTACAGAGAAAGAGTCAGGCATTAGTATTTGGACTCCACAGGTCACTTGCCTTTCTCACCCCTGCAGGGAAAATTACCTTTAACCAGGGGACTAGAAGGTTGGGGTTAGGCAGGGGCCTGGAGAGTCAGGGGTGGGTAGCACCAGACAGTGGCTTTAAGGCTTTCTCTTGCTATTAGGATGGCCCCAGAGCAAGGCACAGGCCTACTGCACATCCCATTGGATGGGAAAAGGGCTCTCCAATCTCTCTAATGCCTGTCCAAAATGTCTTTGGTCACTCACAGAAGGCTAAGCCTGCTGGAATTCCTGCTAGTGACCCAGTCAAGGGCTCTAGGCTTCCCTTAAAAGTTCTACCTTGAAACTCAAGTATCTCCCAGGGAAGAACCCCAAAGACAGAGCTGGTCACAACAGGCCCTAAAGTGACTCAGGTTCCCATTAACAACCTGTAAAACTTGTACAGTGTTACCACAAGTTCTCCCTGGACAGTAGAGGGTGTGTGTGTGTTCATTTAACTTTAGGTTATTCATTTTTTTTGTACTGCTTGAAGTCTTTGCAAGCAGTATTAATTTTGAAGTATTTTAATACAATATCATAATTTTTTTAAATTTTATTACATTTTATTTATTTTGTGTGTGTATATGTATGGGCACACGTGTGGAGGTTAGAGGACAATTTGCAAGAGTTGGTTCTCTCCTTCCAACATGTGGGTTCCAGGGACTGAACTCAGGTCATCATGTTTAGCAGCAGACACCTTTACCCACTGAGCCATCTTGTCAGCCCTAACGTCATGGTTTTATTGTCTTTATAACAAAAGCAGCTTAGAACTGGATCATTTGGCTGTTTCTCTTATCTCCTCTCAGCTCAAAATGCTTGCCTCTCTCCCTCCCCACCCTCATTGAAGACAGAGTCTCATATAGCCCATACTGACCTCCAACTCACTTTGTAGTCTAAGCTGGCCTTAGTCCTCTCACCTCTACTTCCTGAGTGCTGGTATCAACAGGCCAGAGCCACCACCATTTAGCTTGGCTAAAATGCTTCCATCTCTCAAAAGCCAGTATTCTCTAAGCTCTTCAGTTGAGCTCAACATACAGAAGACTCAGAACAGTCTTGGTAGTTTTACCTTTCTCCAGAAAATCAGGTCAGCCTGGCCTCCATACTGCTCAGCTTCTTGTCAGAACACTATGTCCCTGGGCTTATGGAAATCCTTGCTTTCATGTTCTGTGTCACTATATGGGGTGATGTGAGCTGATTTTGAAATGTTTATTATTTTTACTTTTACCTTTCTACTTGTTACTACATTTTATTTATTGGTTTTGCATGTGTGCACCTGTGAATCAGAGGGTAATTTTCGGGAGTCAGTTTCCTCCTTGTGCCATGTAGCTCTCGGGGATTGAATTCAGGTAGCGGGTAGCTTTACCCACTGAGCCATCTCACTGAGCACCCAGATTTTAAATGTTAAAAAACATTTTATTTTATGTGATTGGAGTGCTGACTCAGCAGTTAAGAGCACAGGCTGTTCCTGTAGAGAACCCAGGGTCAGTTCCCAGTATCCACATGGTGGCCAACAGCCTTCTGTAACTCCAATTCCAGAGGATCCAACACCCTCTTCCAGCCGCCATGAGCAGTGCATGCACATGGTGCACTTACATGCAAGCAAAATAAACAGACAAAAATCTATAAAGCAAATTAAATGCTTTGAAGTTGATTTCCCTAATTATTTAAAACTGTGTCCTTTTAAACAGTGACTTCCAAGGATCCACAGAAGGCAAAGGCTTTGTCACCCTAAACTTGTCCCTTTGACACCCCATGCCTTCAAGCAGTTCCTCACCATAGTAGGGCCGAGCACAAAGATCCTCTTCACTGCCATATATGTGCCACTGACCACCACGGGTCTGGTCACCACGCTCAAGAGTGCCGGACTTGGATGCATTGCTAGCACGTCCCCCCAGCAGCAGGGACAGCTGGTCCCCTAGTGTGCGGCAGTGCCAGCGAAGACTCAGGGTCTCTCGGTCACACTCATACATGCCCAGGGAGGCCGTGGTATTGGCAATCGGCCAACCTGTGCCCAGGCACTGCATGGCACCCAGATTGAAGAGCCGGTTCCGGGAGACCCACTTCCAGCATTGGGCTGGTAGACTGGCATTGCAGACTGGGGTGACTCGAACCTGCACACCCTGGGCCTCCAGGCAGCCCTGCAGACCATGGCTGAAGATGAGGAAGACATCAGGTTCTGGAAGGTAAAGCAGGACACAAAGCCATCATCTCTCAGCCCTTGATGACTGTGAAGGCCTACAGACACTGACCATAGCCTCACATCTGTCTAAAGTGTTAAATCACTGATGGTCACTGTCAGCCCTTATAGGTGGGGTGAGGAACACTGCTTGCCCTGTACCCAGAGGAGCTGTGCCCCACCTCTGTTCAGCCCCCATGTCTACCTGGAAGCATGATTCAGGCCTCTGTCCTTCTCCAAAAGCAAACCAACTCTACACAACATGTCTGGAGCCATGTACAAATGTCCCCTTTATCTCTGGCTTCATTTTCCTTAAGTTCAGTTACCTTTGCAGTCCAAAGATATTAAATGAAAAATTCTAGAAATAAATAATGCCTAAGGTTTTTTTTGTTTTGTTTTGTTTTGTTCTCTTTCGTTGAGACAGGGTCTTCCCTGTAACTCCAGTTGGTCTAGAGCTTGCTATATAGACCAGGCTGCCCTCTGTCTCACACAGATCTACCTGCCTCTACCTCCCCAGTGCTGGGATTAAAGTTGTGTGGGTCACCACACCGGCTGAATTCTTAAGTTTTAAAGAACTGTCATTATAGCCAGGCATGGTGGCGCACGCCTGTAGTCCCAGCACTTGGGAGGCAGAGGCAGGTGGATCTCTGTGAGTTCAAGGCCAGCCTGGTCTACATAGTGAGTTCCAGGACAGCTGGGCTACAGGGAGACCCTGCTTCAAAAAGACAAAAAAAAAAGTCATTATAATATAATGTTATAATTGTTCTATTTTATTGCTCTTAATTTCTTACAATGCCTAATTATGAATTAAGCTTTACCAGACACAATATGCACATATATGTGTAAATATATATGTATATATATGTATATCAAGTTTGGCACTATCTCTGGTTTCTGTATCCACTGGGGCTCTTGGGAAGTCTCCTTTGTGTTGAAGGACTACTGAACCTTCCAGAAGATCTTACAAGATTGGTGGAGATATTTACATCACATGCCATATTGAAACTTCAGTCACAATTTCTGTTATTTACCATGTTTTTTCTGCCAAAGTTCTCCATCCTGGAGATATTTTGTATCACTCTTCCCTTGTCCCTTGGCTTCATGGAGTCCATTTCTTTTCCTTCTAGAATCTTTCCAAATCACTCACCACCCCAATCCCCAACCACTCGCGTCTTCCCATAACTCTCACATGCCTTATTTTTTTTAGATAGTGCAATTTAGCCATCTGTTTTCCTCAATCTCACATCTTCTCACCCACCTCCTTAATGAGCAGACCCCTCTGTAGAAGACATGGGATCTAACCCACACCCAGAGCAGTTTCAGATGAAGACGTGAGGCTTAAATGAATAAAGACAGAAAGTAGATTCGTGATAGTCTGGGGCTATGGTGCCAGGGATGGGAATAGGAAATGACTGCTAAAAAAAAAAAATATGTTTCTTGCGGGGAGGGGATGAAAATGTTCTAGGATTAGATTATCATGAGAATATTCTAAAACCCAATTAGTTACATTTTAAGGGAATATATTTTATAGACTGTGAATGGTGTCTCAAGGGAGAGGAGGGGGAAGGAAAAAATAAAAGGCAGACTGTAGTTTAAAGATGCAAAGTGACTTATAGTGTCACCCAGACAGTAAACAAACCCAGGTCTTGGACACCTGCATATCACCCCCTTCCTCTTGTGCGCAGACTGCCACTTAAGTGCACAACATACACTTATTGCACATCCCAGTCTGCAGAGAATTTCTGCATCCATAGTATAATGTTCAGCTTTAATTGTCACCTTGATACAATCTAGAATCACCTGATAAAAGAGTCTCAAGGATTGTCTAGATCAGGTTGGCCTGTGGCATGTCTGTGGGGGATTGTCTTGATTACATTAAGTGGGATGATCTGCCCAATGTTGGTGGCACCATACCCTGTGATCCTGAACTGTATCAAAAGTGGAGAAAGTGGGGATTAGAGAGATGGTTCAGCAGCTAAGAGCACTGGCCGCTCTTGCAGAGGACCCAGGGTTCGAATTGCAGCACCTACATGGAAACTAACAACCATCTGTAAACTCCAGTTCCAGGGGATCTGACGTCCTCTTCTGACCTCTACAGGCATTGCACGGCATGGGTGCACTTGCATGCAGGCAAAACATTCATACACATAAAATAAAAAGAATAAATAGAATATTTTTTTAAAAAAAGAGTGGGGAAAACAAGCTGATCACAAGCATGCATTCATGACTTAACTCCTCTCTGCTCTTGACTGCGGATGTCATGCTAACAATTAGCTCTTTCAAGTTCTTGCTGCCTTGACTTCCCTGCACTGATGGACTGAGACAAAGAAACCTGTCCTTGAGTTGCTTTTTTTCGAAGCAACAGAAGGGAAAGTGGGCCAACTAGATACTATGTCCTCAGGCTAATTTTTAAGCCTTAAACTGTGTACCAGACAGTGTTTAAATCCTGGCTCCCCTTCTTACTGTGTGACTTGGACAAGGACTCAACCTCTTTCTGACCCAGTTTCTTCTTCATAAAACTATTTCAGAGATTAAATAAGATGACTGATAGCACATGTTAAAGTGATTGGGACAGGGTCTGGTATAGAGTAAGAACACTATAAGTGTTTATTGTTATTATAAGTTAGCGGTGAAGATGTTGCCTAAGGACAGTGAAGCAATTTGATGAATAGAGTCCCAAGGCTGGTAAAGGGTGGAGCTGATGTTTGGACTGAGTCTCTTCAATCTTTCTGTTCCCGTACATCTCTCTAGAGTCCATTTGCCATGAGCAGCTACAAAGGTCTTTCAAAGATAGAAATCTGTTTTAGAAAAAAGAAAAACTTGGACTGGAGAGATGGTTCAGCAGTTAAGAGTACTAAATGCTTGACAGAAATTATCAAGGGCAAAATGGGGAAAATGGGGACACTTTAAATGAGGGAGGTTAAGGCAAAGAGAGAAAGACGAGATATAGTGCCTAGCTCATATAAAAAGTCAGAGAGAATTGTATTAGTTCAAAAACCTACTGAAAAATTACACATACAATATCCATAGATGAGTCTGTGAGTATAGCTGAAGACTACTTAACAAGAAACAGTGCCAGACAGGAGAAACCTTCCTTTGAGTTGTTGGCCAGGGTAGTTCAAGAGACTCCCAAAATTACACAGGGTATTGCCACAGTCCTGATTACCTCCAGAACTTGATGGTAAGGCCCTATTGCTGAAGACAGGACATACTTTGGACAGAATTTGGAGCAACAGAGCTGGAACTGACCTGGAAGCCACCTCCCCTGAAGGCTAGCTCTCATAGCTTTGGCGAATACTATACAAGTTGCTAAGGTAGAACATCAATCGATGGCCCAACCCTAGCTTCAAGGCCTAAAAACCACATCAATGACCAGCACAGCAAACGACACTGGTGCAGTAGTGGCACTTTTATCTTGGGGACTGTAATCAACAGCTACCTAATGGATTTAAAGTCCACTCAGTGGGAGGAATCTCATGTGTGATAATGTAAACCTAGCCAAATATACATATCTGGAGAGGTCATAGATCTTAGAGAAAACTCCAAGGCTGTCACATTCCCTAGACAAATGTAATTTCTTACTATGTGCAAAATATGGATCCTTAAATTTATAGACATGTATCCCAGTCACCACCCATCAAAGAAGCTTCTTTTTCAAGAGACAGATAATTACAGAGTCCCACAACTGGTCACATACAGAGACTGTCGGTGAATTTCCCAAGTCTAAGTGGCACATCTAGGATGCAACCTCTACACCTAAGGCTCATGGAACATATAACAAGGGATGACGAGAACACTAACGCATCTTTCAACTTTCATCAATGAAGCTCCCTCATGCAACAGAGGGTCAGGAATGTAAAAGGTCACAAATGGCCAAAATGCAAAGAATAAGAGTCTACAGAGTGTGGGTCCTTGGACAGGACTCCTATATTAAAATCCATCCACACAGAGCTCAGGGACCATTGCGGAAGAGAGGGCAGAAAGATTGTAAGAGCCAGGGAGGAAGTGCATGACCATATGGAAGCAGTCCTATGGGCACCTCGGACCCTTCTCATACCTACAGCAATGGTGTCAGCATGCACGAGACCCATGTACACTAGGCAGACAAAAACCCAGCACAGAGCTGTGGAAATGAACAGCAGATCCTAATCTTCATCAAAGAATTACTGGCAGTTGATTACTGCTAAGTGAGGAAGAACTGATCTTCTTAAAGGGAGGGACTCTAGATAGGCTGACTATAGCCCAGTGGATGAACTTGCACTGAGGGACATCTGGGGACACTAACTTTACATGATAGGCCTTAGCACAAATGACAGAATGTATGAACTCCAGTGGGGAAGCGGGGTATGGGAAGGTGCTAAAGGGGAAGGGCTATAAAGATGATTTTTCTGTATGAAATACACAAAAATTCAATTAAATTTTAAAAAAAGGGTTTTTTGGTTTTTTTTTTTTTTTTTTTTTTTTTTTTTTTTTTTAAAAAAAAAAAAAAAAAAAAAAAAGAGGACGATAAATCTTTCACTGTGATATATCAAAATAA